GCGTAGAGAAATGAATACTAAAGTCATGTCAACAGCGCTATGTTGATGACTCATAAGCTGAGACTGTGTATTGTGCTGTGGATTTCCTTTTTGAAACTGTGATATGTTCTTCTTCGACCTAGTACTATGCTCTACGATTGTCTTTTACTCTGCATAGGCAGTGTGTAACGTGGCTCCCAGGGGTATCTATGTTTGTGGCAACAGTACCAGCACCACAGGTAACTTCTTAACTGATTTGTTATGCAGTAGTCAATAAGTATTTGGTTAAATATAGTCAAATTAGCAATGTGATCTTTACAGTTTTTCGGTTTTTCTTTAGGACTCACAGTAAGTTTATCTCGAGATGCAGGAACAGGGGATTATGCTCTGGAGGCCGGTGCTTTGGTTTTGGCAGACCAAGGTGGGAAATTTGTTTTTAAGCTTATTTTAATGTGCTGTGAACATAAAACATTGCAACCTGTTCTAGTGGCTTTGAGGTAATTGCACTTTGGTCTCTAGCCACATTGCTTAAAAAAACATGTATAAAGTATTATTTATATATTTCTTTAACTTCACAGCATCTTCCACAAAGTATTCCTCCACTGCTTTGACTACTTTCACTTAGTTTGCCAGGCTCAAATTATCAGACAAGCCTTTCAGCCTGCAGGGGAATCTTTTTGCTTCACATGTGTCACAGTTAGTTGCTTGCATTTGTTTTTTACTTGTTTATTTAGGTCTTTGCTGCATTGATGAGTTTGACAAGATGGGCAACCAGCAGCAGGCTCTGCTAGAAGCAATGGAGCAACAATCTGTGAGTCTGGCCAAGGCTGGTATAGTTTCCTCTCTGCCTGCTAGAACCTCAGTTGTGGCTGCTGCAAACCCAGTTGGAGGACATTACAACAGAGGCAAAACCGTCTCTGAAAATCTGAAGTAAGTTAAAGATGGAGGATACAGCGGATTGTATAGTATGTGACTTGTATTTACATTTGTGTACTCTTGTTCTGTATAGAATGGGATCAGCTCTCCTCTCTCGTTTTGATGTTGTCTTCCTGCTCCTGGACATCCCAGACGAGTCACATGACCGCCAGCTGTCGGAGCATGTCATGGCGAATAGGTCAGGGAGAGGCAGAACCAGCAGTGCC